TAATACGTATATTTTAATATATCTTTTAAAAGGATCAAAACCATTGAGAAATGTTACACGTGTTTAACAAGGTTCGGAAAACTTTGAAAATGTTAACAACGGGTTCGGCCGAACCTGCGCGAACCCGCTGAATATCACCACTGAATACGTGTCACTGTATGCGCGCATTACTTGATATTTAGCAAATTTAGACGTTACATTTGTTACAAAAATTTAAAGATTTATGTATTGTTCTGCGCATTAGAAATTCGCAGCCATTACTTTCAAGGTCAGTACACAATTATAATCTCTATTTAACAACTTGGAAACCAAATTTTGAAAAAATTGCTGAAGATTTATCGCAACAAATATCCCATTAAATTGTGTTAGAAATTATTGTAGAATAATTTAAATTTTCTTTATCGTTAATTATAATTATTTTTAGGAAATGTAATTTATGCATGTATTGAAATGACTTCTGTGATTTTATATAATATACTTATTAAATAATAATAAATAAATGTATATACCTGATTAAATTGATTATTATTTACGTAAAATAAGTAATTCATTTTTAGTTATAGTTAGTTAGTTTTTTTATGGCGCTCAGTTGTGAGGGCTGTATAGATCTAACGCAGTAATTATAAAATTTACATACCAAAATATAAGGGGTACTTGAGAAACAACTAAAGGGCTAATGGGGTACATCAACAAAAAGGGTTGAGAACCACTGGTGTACAGCATATGATGCTTCTTTGGTCTGGTCTTACTTGCTAGAGGTTCTTTGGAATTTTTCATCTTATCACACGTTGTTGGTCTTCTAGCAATTATAATCTTGGCATGTGGAGTCTAGGCATTTTCACATTAGCCCCATCATCGTAGTCATCTTTGCTACTTTTGGTCTTTTATTTTTCTGGACGCTAGTCGCCTTTTTCATATTGCCTTTCACTCTAATACTTGAATTTTTAATAGAAAAATTTTATAGTAATTACTAGAAATGAGCAAATACTCCAAATTTATCTATATTATTTTTATCAATATAGTATTTAATACTACAAATATGTTCAATATCATACCACATTTATAGTATTAGTGACACATCCAGAAGTACCAAAAGAGAGATGGGGCTAACTCTCACTAGTCACTAATTATTCAAATATTTTTAATTTTCGAGTACCTTTTATTAAGACGCATGTAACGATTGTATTGCAGACAGTTTGATAAAACACATTTGTCATCATGTTTTTAAAAGCATTTAAAATTTTTTGTCAGAGGGCTCCTCTTCCTCCTGGCCACCTGTAGTTTAATTTGTGACAAGGAAAGAAGCAGATAAGATCCCTACTGGTTTTGAATTCTTGTTTTCTTAAATAAAAATCTGCAGTAGATTTGAATGAAAACAATTATTTCTTGAGATAAGAGTATCTAAGAATCTGCTTTAAAACTCAGTTTAAAGTTTCATTTCCTGAATTTTAGTAAATTATTTTAATTTTAATGTATTACTGAATTAATAGTTATTATTTAACTTGTTTAACTAAATAAGTCAGTGAACTTAATTACAGTATGTAGACTTAAGTACAAGTATTCAGAATATTGGTTAATATTGGAATTGGAGAAAAGTGATTTTTGCCCATTTGTAGTTAATTATATTGACAAAATGCAAGTTCTGCTTTTTGTATAAATATATTTCCAACAGAAAATAATACTCAAAATATATTTACCATTTTGTATTTTTAATAAAAAAATTGTACATTTTGAAAAAATGTTATTAAATTACAAACAATGATGATTATATAAAAATAATACTGGAAGAATAATAAAAAATGTTTACCATTTTATTTGAAAAAATTCATATATTAGATGTGGTAAAGATTTATATAATTCTGTAATTATTACATATTAAAAAATATTAAATGGTCGATCAAATATCATTATATGATATTTAAGTTGTTTTTATAGGTGAGTTTAATAGCAAAATACCTTAGTAATTACAATTTAAGGTTGTTCTAAAAAGGAATTAATAAAACATGATTTTACATTATTATATACTGTATATCCGATTGTTTTACAAGTTATTTTTATTCTTTCAGTATTATTTTTATATAATCATCATTGTTTGTAATTTAATAAAAAAACAATTGTACTGTTGTCAGGAAAAATTCTTGCCAACCACTTAACTACACATACAGTACATTGTATATTCTATAATATATTCCCAGTATGCGTTATTTTATCAGTTCTATATATGTTTATATCATCCCAAATAGGTTTGTATTAACGTGTAGATGCAGCCATAGAAAAAATACTAATAACGATGTTATCCGGGACCTGAAAAGTGCTCAAAACAGTCTTGGCTATCAATTGTGTTTGGAATATAACTAGACTTTTTCCGTAAAATGTCGTATTGATATGAATTTTTCCTATATAAAAATTTGTCTGGCTACAATATTTTTGGCTAAACTACATTCTGCAAAGTTACGCCAGGAAGACTTGGTATTCTCTAAGAAATTTCTGTAATTTTTTTTAATTTGAACTGCAATTGTGGGTATTTGCAATTCCCAAACACTCCAAATGTACGGCCATCAAATTATGTAGTTCTATTAACCGTATCGACGAGAGGTTCCTTTCGGCCCACAAATTATCAAGTCATAAAAAATGGTTTAAGATATCGATTCAAATGGAAATGCCAAATTTAACAATTCACTAAATGCACAGGATTAATTTTGATAATCATTAATACATAGGCGATTTAAAGTTCTACGTCATACATTACATTACAGTGGAACCCCCTATAACACTGTTGATAATTCCAAGTTGTACGAGTCACTTAGATTTTACAAATACGTGTGCCGGGCTGTGAACGACTCACGTATTTGTAAAATATAAGGGACTCGTACAACATGGAATTCATATAACTCGGAATTATCAAGTGTTATAGGGCGGTCTACTATAATCCATATAAATAAAAATGTTCGTTTGTTCAAAATCTTAAATCTCCGAAAGTTCTTAACCGATTGCTTTGAAATTTTGTCACAACGTTGCATTCGGATACGCGCGTTTTTATATTATATAGATGTCGAAATCCCCCCGCGGGGGAGAGGGACAGGATTAAGGTTTACCGTGAAGAACTCGGTTTCTATTATACTGTACTATTTTAGATGCGGTTTTTTGCGTTTTAATAGGGTACGTCGAGAAAATGTACAATACACTAAGAAGGGACTTTTCGAAATTCCCTCCCGCGGAGTGTTATACATTTATAAAAGATGCATTTTGAGCCACAGCAACGCGTGGCCGGATACAGCTAGTTTGGAATGATACAGATATATAAGCCTATAATTGATAAAAGAATGCACACTAGAAACGTATTATAGAATATACAATATATTTTTTAATGATAATACGGTAGATTCGACAAAAGAACGAATAGGCCTATAATGTGTGTATAATTTAAAAATTGTGTTTTTGTCTTATTAAATGTTTGAATACAAACATTTAATAACTAACGATGTGTTTTGTGACTCGTCCGGACAATTTTGTTCTTGTGTTCGTTTTTATTTGTAAGACAAAAACACAATTTTTAAATTATACACACATTATAGGCCTATTCGTTCTTTTGTCGAATTTACCATATGATTAAAAAATATATTCTCGATTGTATTATTCAAATGATTTGGAACCATCAATCTTAAAATGTAAATTCGATAAGACACCTAAAGGGCAAGGCACCTGGTGTAGACCAGATACCAGCAGAACTTATAATGGCCCTAGGAGAAAAAACCGACTTTTATAGATTCATCAACGAAATGTATAGGCCTATAATTGGCCAAGTGCCAAAAGATTTCGAAATGTGGGGATCATAGGACACTGTCTCACACACATGGAAAATTCTGTGCGGAATAATCTATCGAAGGATAGAAAGAAAAGTAGAAGACGACCAATTTGGTTTCAGACGAAACAAAGAGAAATCATACTAAGCCTAAAGATGCTCATCGAACAGCTTACTCGGGCAAAAAGGCAGGCACTCATAGCGTTCATATAGATCTAGAGAAGGCCTTTGACAACGTGGACTGGAACATAATGTTCGGATCACCGAGGAACCTGAAGGTAGACTACAGGGATAGGCGAATACTATGCAAGAATAAAATTGTGATTATAGGAAGAAAAGAAGTCAATATAATGAAAGGAGTAAGACAAGGTTGTGGAGTATCACCTTGTTCAACGTATACATAGAAGAGGCAATGAAAGAATTCTGCGCTACTAATACAAAAGGTATAATAGTGAACGGAAAGTTGTACAGCACAATAAGATTTGCTGAAGATATAGACGACCTACAGATAGTCCTTGAAAATTTAAACGAACAGATGTTACAGCGAAATAGTCCAAGCAAAACAGGCGTTCTGTAGGAAACGACAGATGGAAGGAAAGATAGAGGGCAAAAGAGGACGTGGAAGATCTCGAAGAGTTATTACGAAAAAGGCCATACCAACAGATAAAACAGCTAGCTAAGCGAAGAGAGAAGCTATAAGACTGCACACATCCATGTTTGCCCACCAACTATTGGTTGAGGAGAGAGTTATTAAATTTTTGATACTTAATGCAAGTAACTAGTTAAAAATCCATTTAATAGAATATTACAGACGCCCGTAACAGATATTGTGACGTTCGGTCAGTCGGTTATTTTATATACTTAAATGAATATACGTTAATATGTCAGTTTACAGTAGGCCTACGTATAATCTTGCGTGTCTACATATAGACCTACTAGGTATTACGACGGAAATGACAAAGACGTATTGCCGAAATGTATAATTTCCATCGTAACGTTATTTATTTATTTGAGATACATCGAAATAATGGGTAAAGGCGAATTTAAGAAACGAACGGTAGCCTATTTGCAGACGATTTGAAAATCCCGTTTGTAGAAAATGTTTTATTATAATTATTGTTACGAATCATCATATTCCAACGTTTCGTTTAGTCATTTATTTACAATTATATAAATTAAATTTATTATCTATTTTCAGTCTGTTCCAATTTGTGCGACAACGGAATTTGCATGCACCCAGACTGGCCCTGCAACGGAATTAACCAATGCGGAGACTACAGCGACGAGAGAGACTGCCGAGGAAGGCCGCCGCTTCCTCCCCCCGTTCCTCCCACTATAAATAATATTAAAACCGGAGGTATAAATATTTTTTCCATTTTCGATCATTTACGGAAAAAAGTTAAAGGCCTGTGGGTATATCGAGACAGTTAGAATAAATATATACATATATAGAGCCCATTCTCATCCATCCGTTGCTGTTCCTCGATTAATTTCAAACGGAAGGGTTGGCTTTTTCCGTCCGGACTAACAATATAATCCTTCGGTGTGTTAGATCGACAAGAAATCGTCGATGTAACACACTGGGCTAACCGGCCACAAACGTACAGTACATGACCTAGGGGAAAGTAGAGTAATGGGCCCACCTGTTTTTTGACTAAACTGTTCAGAATTTTCAATCCCAACAGACTTGGAATTCCGAATATGGTGGCTGTTCCGTGCACATTATTGTGCGAGGAAAAAAGTTTTGTGCATCTTTCTTCTAATTGGAACACTATCATTTGTTCGACTGTGTGACCGTACCCTTGTATATAACTTATTGTTTCAACAATATATTAATGCTAGCTATTCCCTCAACTATTAGAGTACATAAGAAGAAACGATTTCACTTTTTTCCTTTGTGTCTAGTCGAGGTTAGAAACATAAAATGGCGTGAAGGGGTAATGAGGCTCAACGAGAATCAAACGATAACGACGACGACGGATGCGAGCAATGCTAATAATTCCTGCATCATCTGGTGGAGAATTTGGTAGAAACAGTACAGATTCTCCAGATGAATAATCACAAATGTAAAGTGCTCGAACTTATTAAACACACAAACTGTTTTGAAAACAATCTATATATATAATCGAGATGGGATTTGGCACGCAGTTATGGTACGTACTACACTAAGAAGGGATTTTCCGAAATTCTCCTCGACAGGGAGGGGTTACCCCGAACTCAGATTTTACTGTACTATTTTAGATGCGGGAAATCGAACATATTTTTAGAACCAACTAAAAATTCTCTAGTCACTGAAGAGAATAAACTTAATTCTTGGACTATAATCTAATCTTAAGTTTAGCTATCGTTACTTTTTGCCCGAACAACGCCGGGCTCATCTGCTAGTACATAAATAAAAAACGAATAATTCTGTTGGGAAAAGGTCGACCGCGTTTAACGTTTCTATAAAAACAACGGAAAGGACAATTTTATTTACCAATCTATTGCGTAATTGGCGGTAGGTTTCTTCGCCTGATATTTCTCCTTTCTTTTCGTAGCTTCCTATTGGATTCTGGCCGGAATTCCGGGTGGCTTCGTACTAGGAATCGTTTCCTTCTTGGCCGGTGTGTTCGCCTTGAAAAAGTATCGAGAGAGAAGACAGAACAGCTATTCTACTTTTCCCGTCTACGATTAATAAAGTCTTACGCCGTCTTTGTTCTTACGAAATAATTAGAGGAAAAGGTGGTATTATGGAACCACCCCATTTCGAACCGAACTAGGCGGACATCCGTAGCCAGGGGAAAACCCGTTTTACTTCGGTTAAACGGTCGTCCGTATTTAATCGGCAAATTTGTTTTTTTTCAAAATTAAGCGAATTTAATTATTTTTAAAATATAAATGGTGTAGCTGTAGGTTGACCGGTTCCAGAAACTTAGGGGCACGTATTCATCCGCGCGACGATCACGTTTTTTTAAATTTCGGTCTCGACTGACGTAAGTTAATTCGAGATGGCGATGCGTGAAATACGGACCCCTTTGGTGCTTTTACGGTAATACGGAACTTTCTCTTTGCCAGCGGACGTTCGTCCGGAGCAATTTGTGAAAAAGACAAGGTAGAAAGTCGAGAGAATATCGAAAAAGAAGCCTTCAAAAACCTAACGAAACATCCAATTAGGAACATCTAGGTTAATAGTTACCGGTACTTTTCGCACAAAAAACGTGGGTGTAGTTACGATACCTCGTTTACGATTCACTAAAACGTAATTGGGGTTCCATAATACCACCTTCTCCTCTACCTATCTTTTGATAATAAAAATTCAATATTCTTTTAGAAAGTGTGTAGTTGTGATAACGAAAGTTGTTCGCTATAATTACTTTCGTTTGTTGGGAACTGGAAGGTTGGAAAGGTTGGGAACTGGATTTCGCACCTCTGTTCCTCGCGCTACGACCGTTTGGCACGTGCCAACCCGGAAATAATATTTTTCTCTGAAACCCTCTGCCGCGGCGTATATATTTAATACCGAAACGGTTACATTTTCCGTCTGTTTCGATCGTTCGAAAGAAAAGTCCAGACCAAACGGGATATCCTCTAGCGCGAAAAGAAAGGCGATCGATTAGACAATGTCCGACCCCCCTAATTTTACCAATCGCCGTTCGTTCTCCGCCGGGAAAACAATAGCCGGAAGTCGTCGACGTCACTGGCTGACTTCGACGTAATAATCGAAGGGGAGGAAGGATCCGGGAGACCGTCGGTCCGAGTCGCGGACGTTTGGACGGTCGGTAAATCGCTGCACCGAACGCGGTTGAGGTAGACGACCTTCCTGAGTTAGTCCCGCGAGGAACTGGCCAGGTAAATACGTGGGAAATGGGGAATGGCGAAAATAACACGAGTCGGGACTATTTTCTACTTATTCGCAGCCACGCTGTTCTTAACATTAACCGCGTGGTTATTTTCCCCTACGTTTTAAATAAACGAAGACTGTCTAAGATGGACGATCCTTTCTTTAAAAAAGGAGATGGTCCGTAGTTTTTTCCGGAGTGAGGATGCGTGAGTAGACTAAACGCTGGTATACACGGTAAGGAAATCCTCAAAGGATGTGCTTAAAAGACGAAAAAAAACTCGGATATAACTGGCTGGATAGAACATAGCAATTTACAAAACTTATTAAAATATCTCCCAATGTATAAAGAATTATTTTTATTTAAAAATGGATAGATAGAAAAAAAAAATCACGGTTAATCCTCAAAGGATTTCCTTACCGTGTATAACAGCCTTAACGAACGTCGGCTCCTCGTTCGTTAAGTATGCGGAAAATGTAACGCTATTTGATATTAACGGCGCTTTTGCAAGAAATTTGCTCTTTATTTAGTCCGGGTCGAGGTTGGAATTTTCCAAATTTCTACTCCCGTCCTAGGTCGGGTGGTTAGGGCGGAGGAGCCACGCCTAGTGGCTAAGTAATCCTGCCGTTTTTTGTACGGCTGTGGAAAAAGTTGTACGCGCTTAGGAGACTGTTAAGAGGAACGAAGAAGAAACGCCCCGAGTACGAGATTTTCCCTGTCCGACAATGTATTAGAATTATCGCCGGCCGATGACTACTGTCGATTTAGCTACCGACCGATTCGGCCATTCGCCGCCGTCCAAATGTGCAAGGATTACAACTTCTTTATTCCTTTAATTAACTGCACGTTTCGGGTGTTTTCATCCCTCTTCGGTCGGAAATGTGAAATTCGTAAAATCTTTAACAAATAAGTTACAATGCTGCGCGTATTTACCTACTTCCCATTTACAAGTGTCATTTAAAATTTACTTTATAGTTTTCTTTCCAGTGTAGTTTTATCGTATCCATATTATTTACGCTTATCGGACTATAAATAATACAAGAGTTCGGAAACAAGTTTTACGAAACGAAAGATAATCGTTACTCGAATAACAGATACCGCATTATATTAATTGGCTAAACATTGAACTCGGTAGGTTGACAAATTTTAAAACGGAAAAAAATACATTTAAAAGAACATTTAGAAATCAAACGAAGAAAAGTCTGATAATGCGGTAGGAGTGACGAAATCGGCAGGAAGGAGCGAGGGATACGACGTTCTATACGTTGGAAAGCTTATTACTTCCCCGTCTACGGTATTTCGTGACAGTTTCGACTTTCTTTTATGCATTTTATCGTACTCATACTTCCGACGCTTCCGAGTTCGAACTAGACGGGCGACGAAAGATGCGATCCGAAATTAGGACGAAAAAGTTTTTCCTTTTTCGTCCGGTTGCTACGTATTTCACTCGGTGTTCGCTTTCTAACTTGTTATCGGGTCCTTTGGATGCCTGGCTTTTACCTTAAATTACACGTATTTGCCGTTTCCGGTCGACGGTGCGCGCGTTATCCTACGGGCCAAAAGGGTAATGGCCCGGGTCCCGAACCAATCTTTTATAAGAAAACATTTCCCCCGAAGAAAAATGTCCAAAGCCGACGCTACGGGCCCGGGCCCAGAAACTAACGCTCCGCCGTGGGGAAGGGACGGTCTCTCCGTTATTCGTAAGGGGGAAAGTGGTTTCGGACTTCCCGCCGTCGGAAGTTACGGCGCCTCCGCCGCCTACCACCGTTGGATAAAGCCTCTTTCCCACCCGCCGCGGCCTTAAGGCGAAAAACGTCCTCGGAAGCGCAAATTACGGGCCTCCGACCGTTTTCGAAAACTTTTGGTGGCGCGGTGCGTATATTACACGCATCGTAACGTCCGAGATTTACTACCTGGCTTAAATATCGTCGAAGAGGAGCCGTACTTAGGGCGTTCGGACGGCGGGATAAATTATAGCGGAGCGGCTCCGGATATCGTTATAACGTTACTTTCCTTGTTTTGTTAAGTTACGACCACGCAACACTCGGGTCGTCTGCCTAGAGGTCTTTTAAGGGTAACTGGCGTTACGGAGGTGGAGAAAACCCGGGAAACCTACCACCGAACTGCCAGCATCGGGGGCCAACATTACGTTCTGCAAACGAACGCAGGTTTTCTTGGGAATATAGTAAGCTTTACCGGGGACCGGCGGGATTTTCTTTGTGATGGGAAAGGAGGCAGGCGACCCGCCCGATTTAATTCGTTTCGGGAGGCCGAGCAATTTTTCCCCAACCGGAACGGCGAGTACGCGTAATTTAAGGTAAAAGTAAAGCAGCCAAAGGCCCGATAACAAATTAAACGCTAAAATACTACCTAACCGGGCGAAAATTGCATTTATCGGTGGCCAATCCCATATAAGTACGAAAAATGAAAAACTTTTTCCTATCTCGTTTCACGCCGCCCGCCTGGTTCGAACTCGGAATCGTCGGGTGTAGCCTACCGGGCCACAACGGAGAATACCCGTCCCGCTGTCGAGAAAGAAAGCTTTGTTCCTTTCGGGACCGTCGGCCGTACCGGAGGTAAGAGCCGAGACTCTGCTAGCGTAAAACCTTTGGTGGTAATTATTTCTAGTCGCGGGGCGTAAAAGCCAGTCGAGCGGTGTTCGACGATACGTGGTGGTCACTTGGGGAGAGGACGTTCTCCGGTAAAGACCTAGAATAAATGTGGAAAGATTTACAGAAGTATGCGGGTATCTGCGACCGTAGGAGAATCCTCGCATTTAGGTGACTACGTAATAAATAAGCTAAGCAAATATTTTAGTACGGTATCTAATTAATAATTTGACAATAAAAGCTAAGATATAAAAGTAAAGTATTATTTTTACTACATTTGTAATTAAAGTACAAAACAAGCGGTAAAATGTAAACGTAATTAAAATAGTAGAAAGCCCTTAAAATATCTACTAGTTGGAGATAGATAATATTTAATTTAACGTAAACATTGTCTTTATATCGACGTATGACGTATACGACCGTTCACCGCCATCGCACAGCCGGGGCAAATAGGTCGGGCGATTAAAAGTAATTACAATATAAAAAGTACGGGCGTCTGGCTCCGGCCGAGCTAAGTTAGGGCTCGGCCGGAGCCAGAGCTAGGCCTTCTCCGGTTCTACCCCACCCGGTCCCGGAGGAGAAAATCGGGCTTCTCCGCAAAAAGCGATTTTGGCCTCACCGGGTGGGGATTTCCCCGTCTTCCTCTTCCGCCGCCCGGAACCATCGATCGGGAGGGGGGCGTCGGTGCGACCTTGGGCGGGGAGGAAATTATCGATCGACGGCGGACGGGAAGCGGCGCGGAGAGGAAGAGACCGAGGCGACGTCTGTCGGAGGTCGGCCGTAATCCGTGCGGGTGAGTAATCGTCTCCTCCCCGTCCGCCGTCGACGGCGGTTTAATCCGCGAGAAAGGGCGAAAGTCTCTTCTCGGCGCCTTACCTTCCCCCCCGGGCAGTTGCTGCCACGGACGAAACTACTTGGTATTCTCCGCGGCGCCGACCGCCCTGGTCTAAGTACTTAGGCCTAATTACTTCCACCGCCCGAAAAGTAAACCCGGACGTTCTCCCTCCCTCTCCCCGGTACTTGGGCGTCGGGTTTAGGCCGGGCCCGATTCCCGCCCGTCGGCTACCGATATTTGATGTAATCGATAATTATAACTTGGCCCTTGGCTTTTTAATAATATAATCGCCAAAGACAGAATTTTTCTCCTCCTTTTCCGGCTTTCGTTCCCGACTTTTTTCCATCCGGCTACCGGAAATAATTTCCCAACCGCCGGAATGATTTGTCGACGGATGTCGAGAGGAAGGATGGAACCGAGGAAACCTTAATCCCATTCAATTTTAATCCGTCGGTCGATTCGGACCGAAAGTTTACAAATTTTGCCAGGAATGACGTAAGTATGATCGTCGGCCTTCGCCCTTTCGTCCTAACCGACACGCCCTCGCTCGACTTTTGCCCGTTAAAACCGGCGCCGGTAATCTTTAACACCACTAAAATATCCTAAAATATCTTTCCCCTCCGACTTTTAATACCACCGATAAATTCGGCATTTTTCGAAACGCCTCCGTGTCGACTGTTACTTTGCTTACAAAAGTCGAACATTTTCAGGTTTAAAATGAAAGACGACGGAAAGTCTCGGGGGTGGACGGACTTCTTCAATTACACCTTGGCCCCCCTTTTCTTGATGATCGGCTCCACCAATTTCTCCGTCTGCGTCGTCTACCTGGTGGTGGTAGAGAAGAGCGACGCGGGGGCCGTGACCCGCCGGGGGGGCCCGGTCGATTTCGTCCTCCGAGCTTGGAAGAGTTCTCTGGTCTTCGACCCCGAAATCGTGGCGCTGTTGGCCGCCTACACCCTGTGGTCGGCCTCGGCCCTGCTGATCTTGGGAGGAGAAGCGTACTACGGCCCTCCCACCAGCACCGGCCACCGACCCCGCTACCTTCGCTCGGGATTCAAGTATTACCTGGCCAGCCTGGCCTCGGCCGCTCTTCTTCTCTCCTCCGTTTCCGCCCGGCACTGGTACCAAAAATTCCACGTGGTTATCGGCAACGTCGTCGTCTTCGGCTACTGCGTCACCGTATTGATTTACCTGAAGGGTCGCCTTTACCGTTCTCCGGGAGAACACGGCTCTTCGGGAAACGTCGTCTTCGATTTCTACTGGGGCTTGGAGTTGTATCCCAGATTGGGCCAGTGGTTCGACGTCAAGCAGTGGACCAACTGCAGATTCGGTATGATGGCCATGCAACTGATAATACTACTGTGCTGGAAGGCCCAGGTAGAAGAGACCGGTTGGAACTGGGCCATGGCCACCACCTCCTGTCTTCAGACCGTTTATCTGGCCAAATTTTATTGGTGGGAAGACGGCTACATGAATACCATCGACATCACGCGGGACAGAGCGGGTAAGTTCTCTTACATTTACGTTAAATGGGTAATGCCAGGAACACACACGCAGAGCCGTAACTAGGCAGGTGCAACGGGTGCACCCGCACAGGGTCCACACTGCTGTTAGCAAGAAATTATATTTCTAAATTTTAAATTTTTCCGCCTTTCTGCAGCGCGGTTTGGCGATTACATTTCGCCTTACTTAGACCCTAGATGTCCGCTCACCGGTGTTCCCAACTGTGGCAACTTTTAGAGGGACGTAGTGAGGTAGCGGAGACCTCGGACAAATCAGCCAAAAGTAGCGACTTTTGAGATTTTTTAATTTATTTTTTGAGAAATTTAAATTTGAGATTTTCCGCGAACGGCGGAAAATGCTACTGTAAAAAGGATTGCGAAAACGCAAAGATTTACAGATTTTTCTCTACTTTATAGAGCTCTCTGGCAACTACTAATATTATTACGATATACAAAACTATTTCTAGATTTTTCTATAGTGTGTAGAGCTAGAAATCTGTAAAATCTGTCATTTTGTAACAAAAATAAATCTGCCCGAGGATTTTTTAAAAATTACTAAATTGAAAACGGTAACTCCCCAATAAAATCTTAGTCTCGAGGTTGTAAAAGGCGTGCAGAAATTCTGACATCATTTTTTGCTTTATAGTGAGTGGTACGCGTATGCGGTGTATACCCGAACGGCGGATTAAGCGGTAAGCGAGCTACGCGGGCGCACAGGGCCCGAAGGAGCTCCCGCAGTCTTTAAAATGCTACCGTAAAAAGGGATTGCGAAAACGCAGAGGATAGAAATAGTCCAAAAAACGCTTCGATATATATATAGACACACGGAAGTAATAAATGATATAGCTTTATGGCCAACAATATTAACAGATGCTATTATTGATCGTATTCTTAAAACAAACCAAAATGTATAGAAAAGGGATTTCTTAATAAACGAAAAAAAGAGTTAAGATAATGGAAATAGATAAAACACCAGACGAAGGAAATAACTCGACACCCGAAAAATTATTTAAAATACAAATTTACAGCGTTCTCGACACTCTATCGTGTCAAATAGATGGGCGTTATGAAAAAATGAAAACTATCCGTGACGATTTTTGCTTTCGCTGTGGCTGGTCTTTACAATACACGAGTGTTGCCGATTTAAAAAAATCGGCTGCGGATCTCGCTATTAAGTGTAGCAAAGATTTAAAAAGTACGAATTCAAAATGAAATTGAAAGGTTTAAGTTTGAAGTAACGNAAATTGTGATTATAGGAAGAAAAGAAGTCAATATAATGAAAGGAGTAAGACAAGGTTGTGGAGTATCACCTTGTTCAACGTATACATAGAAGAGGCAATGAAAGAATTCTGCGCTACTAATACAAAAGGTATAATAGTGAACGGAAAGTTGTACAGCACAATAAGATTTGCTGAAGATATAGACGACCTACAGATAGTCCTTGAAAATTTAAACGAACAGATGTTACAGCGAAATAGTCCAAGCAAAACAGGCGTTCTGTAGGAAACGACAGATGGAAGGAAAGATAGAGGGCAAAAGAGGACGAGGAAGATCTCGAAGAGTTATTACGAAAAAGGCCATACCAACAGATAAAACAGCTAGCTAAGCGAAGAGAGAAGCTATAAGACTGCACACATCCATGTTTGCCCACCAACTATTGGTTGAGGAGAGAGTTATTAAATTTTTGATACTTAATGCAAGTAACTAGTTAAAAATCCATTTAATAGAATATTACAGACGCCCGTAACAGATATTGTGACGTTCGGTCAGTCGGTTATTTTATATACTTAAATGAATATACGTTAATATGTCAGTTTACAGTAGGCCTACGTATAATCTTGCGTGTCTACATATAGACCTACTAGGTATTACGACGGAAATGACAAAGACGTATTGCCGAAATGTATAATTTCCATCGTAACGTTATTTATTTATTTGAGATACATCGAAATAATGGGTAAAGGCGAATTTAAGAAACGAACGGTAGCCTATTTGCAGACGATTTGAAAATCCCGTTTGTAGAAAATGTTTTATTATAATTATTGTTACGAATCATCATATTCCAACGTTTCGTTTAGTCATTTATTTACAATTATATAAATTAAATTTATTATCTATTTTCAGTCTGTTCCAATTTGTGCGACAACGGAATTTGCATGCACCCAGACTGGCCCTGCAACGGAATTAACCAATGCGGAGACTACAGCGACGAGAGAGACTGCCGAGGAAGGCCGCCGCTTCCTCCCCCCGTTCCTCCCACTATAAATAATATTAAAACCGGAGGTATAAATATTTTTTCCATTTTCGATCATTTACGGAAAAAAGTTAAAGGCCTGTGGGTATATCGAGACAGTTAGAATAAATATATACATATATAGAGCCCATTCTCATCCATCCGTTGCTGTTCCTCGATTAATTTCAAACGGAAGGGTTGGCTTTTTCCGTCCGGACTAACAATATAATCCTTCGGTGTGTTAGATCGACAAGAAATCGTCGATGTAACACACTGGGCTAACCGGCCACAAACGTACAGTACATGACCTAGGGGAAAGTAGAGTAATGGGCCCACCTGTTTTTTGACTAAACTGTTCAGAATTTTCAATCCCAACAGACTTGGAATTCCGAATATGGTGGCTGTTCCGTGCACATTATTGTGCGAGGAAAAAACAGTTTTGTGCATCTTTCTTCTAATTGGAACACTATCATTTGTTCGACTGTGTGACCGTACCCTTGTATATAACTTATTGTTTCAACAATATATTAATGCTAGCTATTCCCTCAACTATTAGAGTACATAAGAAGAAACGATTTCACTTTTTTCCTTTGTGTCTAGTCGAGGTTAGAAACATAAAATGGCGTGAAGGGGTAATGAGGCTCAACGAGAATCAAACGATAACGACGACGACGGATGCGAGCAATGCTAATAATTCCTGCATCATCTGGTGGAGAATTTGGTAGAAACAAAGACTGGTGGTACAGTACAGATTCTCCAGATGAATAATCACAAATGTAAAGTGCTCGAACTTATTAAACACACAAACTGTTTTGAAAACAATCTATATATATAATCGAGATGGGATTTGGCACGCAGTTATGGTACGTACTACACTAAGAAGGGATTTTCCGAAATTCTCCTCGACGGGGAGGGGTTACCCCGAACTCAGATTTTACTGTACTATTTTAGATGCGGGAAATCGAACATATTTTTAGAACCAACTAAAAATTCTCTAGTCACTGAAGAGAATAAACTTAATTCTTGGACTATAATCTAATCTTAAGTTTAGCTATCGTTACTTTTTGCCCGAACAACGCCGGGCTCATCTGCTAGTACATAAATAAAAAACGAATAATTCTGGTGGGAAAAGGTCGACCGCGTTTAACGTTTCTATAAAAACAACGGAAAGGACAATTTTATTTACCAATCTATTGCGTAATTGGCGGTAGGTTTCTTCGTCTGATATTTCTCCTTTCTTTTCGTAGCTTCCTATTGGATTCTGGCCGGAATTCCGGGTGGCTTCGTACTAGGAATCGTTTCCTTCTTGGCCGGTGTGTTCGCCTTGAAAAAGTATCGAGAGAGAAGACAGAACAGCTATTCTACTTTTCCCGTCTACGATTAATAAAGTCTTACGCCGTCTTTGTTCTTACGAAATAATTAGAGGAAAAGGTGGTATTATGGAACCACCCCATTTCGAACCGAACTAGGCGGACATCCGTAGCCAGGGGAAAACCCGTTTTACTTCGGTTAAACGGTCGTCCGTATTTAATCGGAAAATTTGTTTTTTTTCAAAATTAAGCGAATTTAATTATTTTTAAAATATAAATGGTGTAGCTGTAGGTTGACCGGTTCCAGAGACTTAGGGGCACGTATTCATCCGCGCGACGATCACGTTTTTTTAAATTTCGGTCTCGACTGACGTAAGTTAATTCGAGATGGCGATGCGTGAAATACGGACCCCTTTGGTGCTTTTACGGTAATACGGAACTTTCTCTTTGCCAGCGGACGTTCGTCCGGAGCAATTTGTGAAAAAGACAAGGTAGAAAGTCGAGAGAATATCGAAAAAGAAGCCTTCAAAAACCTAACGAAACATCCAATTAGGAACATCTAGGTTAATAGTTACCGGTACTTTTCGCACAAAAAACGTGGGTGTAGTTACGATACCTCGTTTACGATTCACTAAAACGTAATTGGGGTTCCATAATACCACCTTCTCCTCTACCTATCTTTTGATAATAAAAATTCAATATTCTTTTAGAAAGTGTGTAGTTGTGATAACGAAAGTTGTTCGCTATAATTACTTTCGTTTGTTGGGAACTGGAAGGTTGGAAAGGTTGGGAACTGGATTTCGCACCTCTGTTCCTCGCGCTACGACCGTTTGGCACGTGCCAACCCGGAAATAATATTTTTCTCGGAAACCCTCTGCCGCGGCGTATATATTTAATACCGAAACGGTTACATTTTCCGTCTGTTTCGATCGTTCGAAAGAAAAGTCCAGACCAAACGGGATATCCTCTAGCGCGAAAAGAAAGGCGATCGATTAGACAATGTCCGACCCCCCTAATTTTACCAATCGCCGTTCGTTCTCCGCCGGGAAAACAATAGCCGGAAGTCGTCGACGTCACTGGCTGACTTCGACGTAATAATCGAAGGGGAGGAAGGATCCGGGAGACCGTCGGTCCGAGTCGCGGACGTTTGGACGGTCGGTAAATCGCTGCACCGAACGCGGTTGAGGTAGACGACCTTCCGGAGTTAGTCCCGCGAGGAACTGGCCAGGTAAATACGTGGGAAATGGGGAATGGCGAAAATAACACGAGTCGGGACTATTTTCTACTTATTCGCAGCCACGCTGTTCTTAACATTAACCGCGTGGTTATTTTCCCCTACGTTTTAAATAAACGAAGACTGTCTAAGATGGACGATCCTTTCTTTAAAAAAGGAGATGGTCCGTAGTTTTTTCCGGAGTGAGGATGCGTGAGTAGACTAAACGCTGGTATACACGGTAAGGAAATCCTCAAAGGATGTGCTTAAAAGACGAAAAAAAACTCGGATATAACTGGCTGGATAGAACATAGCAATTTACAAAACTTATTAAAATATCTCCCAATGTATAAAGAATTATTTTTATTTGAAAATGGATAGATAGAAAAAAAAATCACGGTTAATCCTCAAAGGATTTCCTTACCGTGTATAAAAGCCTTAACGAACGTCGGCTCCTCGTTCGTTAAGTATGCGGAAAATGTAACGCTATTTGATATTAACGGCGCTTTTGCAAGAAATTTGCTCTTTATTTAGTCCGGGTCGAGGTTGGAATTTTCCAAATTTCTACTCCCGTCCTAGGTCGGGTGGTTAGGGCGGAGGAGCCACGCCTAGTGGCTAAGTAATCCTACCGTTTTTTGTACGGCTGTGGAAAAAGTTGTACGCGCTTAGGAGACTGTTAAGAGGAACGAAGAAGAAACGCCCCGAGTACGAGATTTTCCCTTTCCGACAATGTATTAGAATTATCGCCGGCCGATGACTACTGTCGATTTAGCTACCGACCGATTCGGCCATTCGCCGCCGTCCAAATGTGCAAGGATTACAACTTCTTTATTCCTTTAATTAACTGCACGTTTCGGGTGTTTTCATCCCTCTTCGGTCGGAAATGTGAAATTCGTAAAAACTTTAACAAATAAGTTACAATGCTGCGCGTATTTACCTACTTCCCATTTACAAGTGTCATTTAAAATTTACTTTATAGTTTTCTTTCCAGTGTAGTTTTATCGTATCCATATTATTTACGCTTATCGGACTATAAATAATACAAGAGTTCGGAAACAAGTTTTACGAAACGAAAGATAATCGTTACTCGAATAACAGATACCGCATTATATTAATTGGCTAAACATTGAACTCGGTAGGTTGACAAATTTTAAAACGGAAAAAAATACATTTAAAAGAACATTTAGAAATCAAACGAAGAAAAGTCTGATAATGCGGTAGGAGTGACGAAATCGGCAGGAAGGAGCGAGGGATACGACGTTCTATACGTTGGAAAGCTTATTACTTCCCCGTCTACGGTATTTCGTGACAGTTTCGACTTCCTTTTATGCATTTTATCGTACTATCGTACGCATACTTCCGACGCTTCCGAGTTCGAACTAGACGGGCGACCTACAACGCGAAATAAGCCGGCCGACGAAAGATGCGATCCGAAATTAGGACGAAAAAGTTTTCCCTTTTTCGTCCGGTTGCTACGTATTTCACTCGGTGTTCGCTTTCTAACTTGTTATCGGGTCCTTTGGATGCCTGGCTTTTACCTTAAATTACACGTATTTGCCGTTTCCGGTCGACGAAAACGGGCACGGTGCGCGCGTTATCCTACGGGCCAAAAGGGTAATGGCCCGGGTCCCGAACCAATCTTTTATAAGAAAACATTTCCCCCGAAGAAAAATGTCCAAAGCCGACGCTACGGGCCCGGGCCCAGAAACTAACGCTCCGCCGTGGGGAAGGGACGGTCTCTCCGTTATTCGTAAGGGGGAAAGTGGTTTCGGACTTCCCGCCGTCGGAAGTTACGGCGCCTCCGCCGCCTACCACCGTTGGATAAAGCCTCTTTCCCACCCGCCGCGGCCTTAAGGCGAAAAACGTCCTCGGAAGCGCAAATTACGGGCCTCCGACCGTTTTCGAAAACTTTTGGTGGCGCGGTGCGTATATTACACGCATCGTAACGTCCGAGATTTACTACCTGGCTTAAATATCGTCGAAGAGGAGCCGTACTTAGGGCGTTCGGACGGCGGGATAAATTATAGCGGAGCGGCTCCGGATATCGTTATAACGTTACTTTCCTTGTTTTGTTAAGTTACGACCACGCAACACTCGGGTCGTCTGCCTAGAGGTCTTTTAAGGGTAACTGGCGTTACGGAGGTGGAGAAAACCCGGGAAACCTACCACCGAACTGCCAGCATCGGGGGCCAACATTACGTTCTGCAAACGAACGCAGGTTTTCTTGGGAATATAGTAAGCTTTACCGGGGACCGGCGGGATTTTCTTTGTGATGGGAAAGGAGGCAGGCGACCCGCCCGATTTAATTCGTTTCGGGAGGCCGAGCAATTTTTCCCCAACCGGAACGGCGAGTACGCGTAATTTAAGGTAAAAGTAAAGCAGCCAAAGGCCCGATAACAAATTAAACGCTAAAATACTACCTAACCGGGCGAAAATTGCATTTATCGGTGGCCAATCCCATATAAGTACGAAAAATGAAAAACTTTTTCCTATCTCGTTTCACGCCGCCCGCCTAGTTCGAACTCGGAATCGTCGGGTGTAGCCTACCGGGCCACAACGGAGAATACCCGTCCCGCTGTCGAGAAAGAAAGCTTTGTTCCTTTCGGTACCGGAGGTAAGAGCCGAGACTCCGCTAGCGTAAAACCTTTGGTGGTAATTATTTCTAGTCACGTGACCGCCATTTTTTACGCCGGAGCGGGGTGTAAAGCCGGGGTAAAAGCCAGTCGAGCGGTGTTCGACGATACATGGTGGTCACTTGGGGAGAGGACGTTCTCCGGTAAAGACCTAGAATAAATGTGGAAAGATTTACAGAAGTATGCGGGTATCTGCGACCGTAGGAGAATCCTCGCATTTAGGTGACTACGTAATAAATAAGCTAAGCAAATATTTTAGTACGGTATCTAATTAATAATTTGACAATAAAAGCTAAGATATAAAAGTAAAGTATTATTTTTACTACATTTGTAATTAAAGTACAAAACAAGCGGTAAAATGTAAACGTAATTAAAATAGTAGAAAGCCCTTAAAATATCTACTAGTTGGAGATAGATAATATTTCATTTAACGTAAACATTGTCTTTATATCGACGTATGACGTATACGACCGTTCACCGCCATCGCACAGCCGGGGCAAATAGGTCGGGCGATTAAAAGTAATTACAATATAAAAAGTACGGGCGTCTGGCTCCGGCCGAGCTAAGTTAGGGCTAGCCCTTCTCCGGTTCTACCCCACCCGGTCCCGGAGGAGAAAATCGGGCTTCTCCGCAAAAAGCGATTTTGGCCTCACCGGGTGGGGATTTCCCCGTCTTCCTCTTCCGCCGCCCGGAACCATCGATCGGGAGGGGGGCGTCGGTGCGACCTTGGGCGGGGAGGAAATTATCGATCGACGGCGGACGGGAAGCGGCGCGGAGAGGAAGAGACCGAGGCGACGTCTGTCGGAGGTCGGCCGTAATCCGTGCGGGTGAGTAATCGTCTCCTCCCCGTCCGCCGTCGACGGCGGTTTAATCCGCGAGAAAGGGCGAAAGTCTCTTCTCGGCGCCTTACCTTCCCCCCCGGGCAGTTGCTGCCACGGACGAAACTACTTGGTATTCTCCGCGGCGCCGACCGCCCTGGTCTAAGTACTTAGGCCTAATTACTTCCACCGCCCGAAAAGTAAACCCGGACGTTCTCCCTCCCTCTCCCCGGTACTTGGGCGTCGGGTTTAGGCCGGGCCCGATTCCCGCCCGTCGGCTACCGATATTTGATGTAATCGATAATTATAACTTGGCCCTTGGCTTTTTAATAATATAATCGCCAAAGACAGAATTTTTCTCCTCCTTTTCCGGCTTTCGTTCCCGACTTTTTTCCATCCGGCTACCGGAAATAATTTCCCAACCGCCGGAATGATTTGTCGACGGATGTCGAGAGGAAGGATGGAACCGAGGAAACCTTAATCCCATTCAATTTTAATCCGTCGGTCGATTCGGACCGAAAGTTTACAAATTTTGCCAGGAATGACGTAAGTATGATCGTCGGCCTTCGCCCTTTCGTCCTAACCGACACGCCCTCGCTCGACTTTTGCCCGTTAAAACCGGCGCCGGTAATCTTTAACACCACTAAAATATCCTAAAATATCTTTCCCCTCCGACTTTTAATACCACCGATAAATTCGGCATTTTTCGAAACGCCTCCGTGTCGACTGTTACTTTGCTTACAAAAGTCGAACATTTTCAGGTTTAAAATGAAAGACGACGGAAAGTCTCAGGGGTGGACGGACTTCTTCAATTACACCTTGGCCCCCCTTTTCTTGATGATCGGCTCCACCAATTTCTCCGTCTGCGTCGTCTACCTGGTGGTGGTAGAGAAGAGCGACGCGGGGGCCGTGACCCGCCGGGGGGGCCCGGTCGATTTCGTCCTCCGAGCTTGGAAGAGTTCTCTGGTCTTCGACCCCGAAATCGTGGCGCTGTTGGCCGCCTACACCCTGTGGTCGGCCTCGGCCCTGCTGATCTTGGGAGGAGAAGCGTACTACGGCCCTCCCACCAGCACCGGCCACCGACCCCGCTACCTTCGCTCGGGATTCAAGTATTACCTGGCCAGCCTGGCCTCGGCCGCTCTTCTTCTCTCCTCCGTTTCCGCCCGGCACTGGTACCAAAAATTCCACGTGGTTATCGGCAACGTCGTCGTCTTCGGCTACTGCGTCACCGTATTGATTTACCTGAAGGGTCGCCTTTACCGTTCTCCGGGAGAACACGGCTCTTCGGGAAACGTCGTCTTCGATTTCTACTGGGGCTTGGAGTTGTATCCCAGATTGGGCCAGTGGTTCGACGTCAAGCAGTGGACCAACTGCAGATTCGGTATGATGGCCATGCAACTGATAATACTACTGTGCTGGAAGGCCCAGGTAGAAGAGACCGGTTGGAACTGGGCCATGGCCACCACCTCCTGTCTTCAGACCGTTTATCTGGCCAAATTTTATTGGTGGGAAGACGGCTACATGAATACCATCGACATCACGCGGGACAGAGCGGGTAAGTTCTCTTACATTTACGTTAAATGGGTAATGCCAGGAACACACACGCAGAGCCGTAACTAGGCAGGTGCAACGGGTGCACCCGCACAGGGTCCACACTGCTGTTAGCAAGAAATTATATTTCTAAATTTTAAATTTTTCCGCCTTTCTGCAGCGCGGTTTGGCGATTACATTTCGCCTTACTTAGACCCTAGATGTCCGCTCACCGGTGTTCCCAACTGTGGCAACTTTTAGAGGGACGTAGTGAGGTAGCGGAGACCTCGGACAAATCAGCCAAAAGTAGCGACTTTTGAGATTTTTTAATTTATTTTTTGAGAAATTTAAATTTGAGATTTTCCGCGAACGGCGGAAAATGCTACTGTAAAAAGGATTGCGAAAACGCAAAGATTTACAGATTTTTCTCTACTTTATAGAGCTCTCTGGCAACTACTAATATTATTACGATATACAAAACTATTTCTAGATTTTTCTATAGTGTGTAGAGCTAGAAATCTGTAAAATCTGTCATTTTGTAACAAAAATAAATCTGCCCGAGGATTTTTTAAAAATTACTAAATTGAAAACGGTAACTCCCCAATAAAATCTTAGTCTCGAGGTTGTAAAAGGCGTGCAGAAATTCTGACATCATTTTTTGCTTTATAGTGAGTGGTACGCGTATGCGGTGTATACCCGAACGGCGGATTAAGCGGTAAGCGAGCTACGCGGGCGCACAGGGCCCGAAGGAGCTCCCGCAGTCTTTAAAATGCTACCGTAAAAAGGGATTGCGAAAACGCAGAGGATAGAAATAGTCCAAAAAACGCTTCGATATATATATAGACACACGGAAGTAATAAATGATATAGCTTTATGGCCAACAATATTAACAGATGCTATTATTGATCGTATTCTTAAAACAAACCAAAATGTATAGAAAAGGGATTTCTTAATAAACGAAAAAAAGAGTTAAGATAATGGAAATAGATAAAACACCAGACGAAGGAAATAACTCGACACCCGAAAAATTATTTAAAATACAAATTTACAGCGTTCTCGACACTCTATCGTGTCAAATAGATGGGCGTTATGAAAAAATGAAAACTATCCGTGACGATTTTTGCTTTCGCTGTGGCTGGTCTTTACAATACACGAGTGTTGCCGATTTAAAAAAATCGGCTGCGGATCTCGCTATTAAGTGTAGCAAAGATTTAAAAAGTACGAATTCAAAATGAAATTGAAAGGTTTAAGTTTGAAGTAACGACTCTTATAAAAAATATAGAAACCGCATCTCCGCTTAATATTCTACGGGCTCTTGGTGATTTTGGTTTAATCAAGTCTTACCCAAATATCGATGTCGCTCTTCGAATATTTCTAACTCTTCCCCTTTCTATCGCTTCGCGCGAGAAAAGTTTTAGCCAGTTAAACTTAATAAAATTATTTAAGATCAACTATCGGACGAGAACGATTGTCCAATATTTCTATTATTTCAATAGAATACATTATCGTTAAAAATATTAATTATGAAGGTGTAATTAATGAATTTGCCGAAATGAAAGCCAGAAAAGTTCAGTTAAAATAAATCTTGTTAAAAATCTATTGTAATGTATTTATTTTATTATTTTCCCAAACCAAATAAATTAAGGGGCCTAAATGCAAATTCTTGCACGGGGCACGGGAATGGCTAGTTACGGCTCCGCACACACGCGTAAAATTCGGCTTAAAATCTAGCATAAAACAGAAAACGTAAAAATTTTTCTGAAATTTTGGCTGAAACAGAACTGAAAATAGAGTAGAATGTGTGTCTATTTTTTACGCCAAAATTCCTCCAATAAAGAGAAGTCTTCTCTGTGACGTCAAAGTAGACGCGTGGTTTTATTCTAACAATAGCGGCAATGAAGGTTAACCTTCATTGCCGCTATTGTTAAGACGTTAAAAACATATATTTTTATCCGCGCCGAAAACGTATTATGCCGATACTTTTAATATCGTAGTTCCTCCCGGATATAAAATACGATAAATAAGTCGCCGAAGCTGGGATAATTGGCAAATTCGCCACCCGTTCTAAACGTGCCGTTAAAGTCGGTAATTGTCTAGGACCTTCGAAACACTTCAGGTTTTTTCCTATTTAGATAAAGAAAAGATGCGGATGTAGTTTACGTAACTGTGCCCGGGATCGAGCTACGTTGCTAATCCCGTCGGATAACGGGAAATTCCAGTGAAGTTTTTCGATAAACTCGTCAATGGAAAAATTGTGGTGTGAAACGAAAAGTTGAAAGAACCGTCGGCTTGGGTTCGAACCCCCGTTGCTTAAAGCGTGGCGTCCTTTACCCCCTCCTCTCTCAATGTTTTTACATTAAAGCAATACGTAATTTCTACTTTTTATCTAATATGTCTATTGTTAAGCGGCCGATTTTTATAAAGAAGTCTCCCGCCTCCGAAAGAACCTCGCGCGAAATTACGCCGGCGGAGAAAGACGTCGAAATCTATAACGGTAGAACTGCGAAAATCTAGGTGAAAGAGGGGCGATGTGGTGGAAGATGCCGGACAGTCTAAGAAAAAAGTAATATTTCTCAGTAATTACCCTTTCGTTGATCGCCAAATGAAGATTCGAGAAAATATTTGAAAAAACGACCCAGACAAAAATATGTGACAAACTTCTGAGACTGGAAAAAGGAGAGGCTTAAGAAAAAGTTTGATCCATACAAATATATACGGCATGTTTGCATCAAACAAGTACAAAATTAGCGTGGTTAGATGTGTCCTTCCTATGAGAATAAGCATTCACCCGAGCTTCGTTTTCCACGAAATTATGACGGTCGGCCAGTTTCCAAATCTTTCTTATTCTAATTATCACAGATTCGTCACGGAGGATTCGGAAAAGACGTGTTCTCATCCATTCCTTTGCCCCATTATTTCTCCATACGCGTTGCGTATGGAGAAATAATGGGGCAAAGGAATGGATGGGAAAATGGAGAGTAAATAGACGAGGACGAGCGGAAACAAAACCGCTTATGAACCTAGACGACCCGCTGCAGAAAAATTAATACCCGAGATCGATTATCCGATAAGATGGGGGATTAGGAGAGAAAGAGCAGAGTAGAATCTGACCGTCCGGCTTGTAGCGAGATGTCAGATTTTAAGAAATTGTCGTGTCTGTTGGACGATAGAAATATCGGATAAAATTTAAAAAAGCGCGTAAGAAGGTGGTTAGACCGATTAGTATAAGTGATCGGGCAGAAGGCAAAGGACGACGGACGAAGCTTAAGTTTTGCCAGTGAGCAGACAAGAATGGATCTGAAAAAATGTTACGATAAAGAGATTCGAAATAACAAAGGTTACAGATACGGTCCGAAAAACTGGATTCCGACAGTACGATCTAGTGAAATGAAGAGGAAAGAAATATTATGTCGCCCGGAAAGAAGATAGAACGGCGTAAGAAGAGAATGGCTGTGAAACAGACGATGGAAGAGAAGCATCTATATCGGTATCGTCATATAAACAGAAATAATACTAGGTTTTTAGTAATAATTACAAAAATTGTGAAAGGCTTCATCGCATTTTAAAGATTTTCAAAGAACAATGACATTTGAACATTCGGAGAAAGCAAGATGTTTTAATATTGGGCTTTCGTTTGAAATTTTCCATTCACATAGCCTAATAATCGCGCTTAAATGATTTTTATTTGATTCTCGATTTAAGATGGTTTACTTTTATCCCTTTACTCGCGGTGAAATCTAATTAGATACGCTTACATTCGAAATTATTACTGTTTCGACAACTTGAACTTCAAACCGTCTGTATACTTAACAAAACAAATGGCTTAGATTATTTTAAAGAAATGAATTTTAGAAGGCGGGCTAAAAATTTTACAGTTCAAGACAGATAATCAGTGGCTCTCTCTTAATAATCTAAATGATCTATTCTTATTCTTCGAACCAATATTTTGCTCATTTTTAAAAAATTGCAAAAGTTGGATAGATAAGTTAGTGCACGGAAAAGTTAGTGCACGGAATTTTAAGTAACAAATTGATAAGTACTTACTGTGTCGACATTTTTAAGTAATTATACCACAGAAACCTATTGTCAGATTAAATACGCAATTAATAATAATGTTTAATGATTTCCCCTTTTGTAGTAACTAAATGCAAACAAAATTAAGTTTCTTGAAATCAATTGTTCAATGTCATCTGCCCACATTATTTTAACCTCCTTACCTGGCATATTAGTCTATAATTATTCATTTATTTTCTGCTAAATTTTATATTTATTTATTAATATTTAAAACAAATTTTAATTACTTATTTCAAACAGGCTTTTATATCTGTTGGGGATGCTTGTGTTTTGTGCCATCCTTTTACACCCTGACTAATCTGTACATGGTAGAGAATTCTCCGGCACTCAGACCCGAGATTGCAGTCGTCATTTTCGTCGCGGGAACCGTGTCGATACTATTAAATTACTGGACCGACTATCAAAAGCAACTGGTGAAGAGTACGAAGGGCAAATGCATCATCTGGAAGGTTCCCGCCACCGTCATCCGAGGATCTTACCGGGATGCCGAAAACGTCACTCGCGAAGTTGTGTTGCTGGCGTCGGGATTCTGGGGCCTCGCCAGACACATGAATTATTTTTTCGAAATTCTACTACACATTTTTTGGGAATTGCCCAGTTTATTTTCCAGTCTGATACCCTATCTCCACGGTCTGTTTCTGACCGTACTGCTAATTCATAGAGTATTTCGAGACGAAAAACTCTGCCAGAAGAAATATGGATCTTATTGGCAACAATATTGTCAGTTGTGTAAATACAGAATAATACCAGGAATATTTTAAAAATTTTGAAATTATTTTTCCTTTTAAACCTTTGATATATCGCATGAAAATTATTGATGTATGTAAAAACGCTCAATAAATATATTTAACTTGTACGATTTCTGTTTATTACAGATTATTTATATAAGCATAGTTCTCTGTCTAAAGCACAAACCTTTCAAGGGTTAGGTTTATTTTACATTCGGTTTCTAAATTTACGCATAAAGTGCAAGCTGAAGCAATTATTTATGGCAGTGGTTCTCAAACTTTGTAAAAGAGAAGCCATCTTTTCTTGTGGAAAGTCTCCTATGCTTACATAAAAAGTCACCCACACTTCTTACACGAGCGTACCGAAATTTACTTTTCTTAGTATTTATTTTTTCAAATAAAACTGAGATTTTCTTAAGAGTTTTTAGTAGTATACAATTATAGCTCAAACAAAAATAGTACAGAGATATTTATGATGATATAACTACATTGTAAGTTATCATTAGTTACACTACAATGTGATCATTTGAATGAAATTATTACGAATTTAAAATTAAAGTAAAACTTAAATACTTGGGTTTGAATATAGACCTACAATATGATTTGTAATAGAAATGTGTATGTTTATATAAAGTCATTAAATATGATACTGTTCAAATAAAATTTATCATTTTTTTGGTATTTAAAAGCTATTAAAAAGAAATGTAAATATACATTTAAGTTTTTTATGCAATTTTATAATTAATTTAATTTAAGTTCCAAAATATTAACAGTATAAAGAAAACACTTGAAATCTTTTAAGAATTCAGAAGAAAATTAAAATTGTTGCTGTTCTCTGTAAAATCTGTAATATTGAGTTAGGTGTACAGTATGTTGCAATGTGCTGTGGTGTGTATCTATCTAAGATTCGTATGGATTTATGGCTGGGTTTTTACGGCATCAAAAAGGCCCCGGTAAATATTAAACTTTCGTTTTGGTCGATTTTTGTACGGAGTCGTATTTTTGCAGTTTTGACCGGGAACTTCTTAGGATAAACGTCCCGCACCGCCTGGTAGCGGTGCGACTCTGGAATAACAGAAGATCCGAGGGAGGCCCACCAGCGGCCAAGCGGTTCCGTTCCCCGAACACTGAGAGTTTGGTCTTGCGTTCGCGCCCGGATAAGACGGGTCGGCCACGTAGACTTTTCAGGGTTTTCCGCCCGAATAGGGGCCGGTTATCCTTGAAAGACCTCCCGGAAGGCATTATTCCCCGAGTATAAACAAATATATATATATATAATTACTAACTACGTCACATGTGCCATGTGACGTAGTTAGTACCTCTCGACCTACGCCTAGACCCTCTCGATCAACATGCAAAGACAAGACAAGATCCGAAGAAGCGGCGAAGGATTTTTTAAAAATAAGAAAAAACATTAAAATATTACGCGAAAATTTTTGAAAGATTCGAATTTTGGTCACAGTTTCAAGAGGAAGAAATCGTCTTTTCCTGTTACCGGTCGCGCCTTCCTCCATTTGCATAGGCGCGCGCTTTTTTTCGTAGTCGGCGGGAGAGAAAGGCGGCCGAAAGGGAAGGAAAGAGCGAAACGTCCGATACCAAACGTCGAATCGGCCACACGATGCGGGTTTGGAGGGCAGTCAAAAACCTAAGTCTTTTAGTGGTAGCCGAAAATAGGCGGACGGTAAAGTAAGCATTTAGGCCCAGGCCCCGTTATCCGGGACGATTATCTTACGGTAAATCGAAGTTCGGAAGAAACGGGAATAACGTATTTAAGAATAGGGCGTGGGTGGCCACCGGCCGAAAGCGATCGGGTTTGGACATACGAGAAAAAGGCGGAGAGTGGAGGATAATAAACTAAACGCCTGCGTATTCCGTATTCGTCTTTTTTTAATCGGAATTTTATCGCGTATTTTTAAAGTTAAAAAGTATGAATTTTGGGATATTTACTGCGGTGTATAAAAAAATTTGCGTCTGCGGTTACTAGTTTCCTACCGTAGAGATCTTTTGGTAAAAGTTCACTTAGGTAGTACAAATGGCGACCGTCTCAAGTACTTACTACACCGGCATTTAGAGGAAAAAAATCTTTCACTCACCGTTGACGTATTTCTAATTCCTTTCCTTCCATTTATTCGGTAAAAAACACGGTTCGGACGATTCTTTCGTAACTTCATCCTTTTCTATCGTAGAAACTTTTTCCGCATTCTTAACACACACGTCTACATTCTTCCTCTTACGATTTTCGGATTTATTTGGCACTTACTTTCGGGGCCGAAGGTACAATATCTGGCTTTTTCCAAACTAAAAGACGTCCCGCTCCTGGATAAAACTTACTCGTATGCCGAACCGTTCTCCTAGTTTTTCCTTCTGCTGACAAAAATCTCGTCGATTTCGACAACCTTCCCGGGTCCATCCAATTTTCGTTCCGGTAAAATTAGACGACGAAACAATCGTAATGTGTGGTACGAAGTTCGCCCATTCAACAGCCGTTCGACTACTCACGCCCGCGGCCGAACAGGTGACTGTACTTTCTATGCAAATTAGATGCCAAACAGACGAAAAAGTAGTTCCCAAGAAATTTTCCCAAATTTACGTTGAAAAATTACTTCAAATGACGAACTGTTAATCTAAAAGAAACAGAATCACGATCCTTTCGATAATTTAATTTGCCACGACCATCGCATTTCGAACAATCTGCATCTGCGGGTCGCGTAACAACCCATGAAATTCTCTGGTCAAAGTTAAACTCGGGATATTCCGATAATAAAAAATGAAAAAAATCTCTCGAAATACACCAAACTCCGCCATTACAACAATAAACGACAAAATATCGAAAAAGGCGATTCGCGCAACAACATATAACTTTTCGAAGCCGAATAATTAAATTACTCCTAACAAAGTTATAAAATGTTAAGGAATTAATCTAAAACTGAAATGACGTTAGAAATCTCGTAAACTAAGACGGCGACACCTAGATTAACTTTCAAAGCAGGCGTTGTCCAGATTCCGGAAGTGCCGCCATCGGGACTATCTAAGTAAACTTCTACCGATCTTTTTTAAAATATATCCGGGTAAAAATTGGAAGTTACTTGTAAAAAAGTCTGGCAACGAGTTGCGTAACTTTCCGGGCGTTTACATTAATAATATAAAAGTTATTTAAAAATAACTTTTATATTATTAATGTAATTAATAAAATTCTGTTACGAGATTTTGTTATAAAAATTTATTTATTTTTAATTATTATCTAATAGCAAAAAGCTTAATTCTGAGTGGAAGAATGAGTTTACAGAATATTAGAGAGGTTGCGGCCGACGTTTTCATCGGGAAAACGTGTACGTCGGACGTTCAGCGCCGCATTCCTGAAAGCCTAGAAGTTTGACAATGGAGTTTGGAACGCCGAGCAAGATTCCACTGACGTTCCAAACGCCATTGTCAAACTTCTAGGCTTACAGGAATGCGGCGCTGAACGTCCGACGTACACGTTCTTCCGATGAAAACGTCGGCCGCAACCTCTCTATTGTAAATACTCATAATGAATAACATCTTCATTAAGTCCGAACCCGACCGAGATATATCACGCGATCACCTATGTCCATCCCCTCGACCTTTCATAACCAAAACTTAATAGCGTCAATGCTCCTTATATACAAACTACGTGCCAAACTTCATTTACCCCCGCCTGGGCCCTTAAGGCTGCTATACACCATGGGTTAATCCTTTGAGGATGCCTGGCCTTGAGGAACTTCAGAATTTCCTATCGCCCAAAAACGAAGAAAACCTCTCAGCAGAGGGTGGGGCAGCTTGCCCCGGGCACCACTGGCAGAGGGGAGCCTAATGGTTTCCAAGAATAACAAAATTTGTTTCTGGAGGGGGAGGGGGGGCCAATATAGTGTCGCGGCCCGGGTGTAGTTATGTTCGCTACTCGGGAACTAAACTACTACTACTAAAACTCGCGGGAAAAAAGTATGCATAGAAGTCTATGGTGTAAATAGTAGTAGTAGTGGTTTGGGTAGCACTGATCACAAAATTAATTTTTCATACGAATAATTTTTTAATGGAATTATTTCAGATCACAAAATTAATTTTTCAAGAGAAATCTTGGGCTATAGATTATGTTAAAAAGCATCAATTATCAGCGAAAGACAATGGCAAGTCGATTTTACTACCAAAAAAATTCATGGATTAAATTTTATAGACGAATATATATTAATAATTCTCAACCACATCCGATATTAGTACAAATTGTAAACATTATTATCGCAAATTAATTTTATAATTTAATAATTAAAAAGAATTTATTAAACTTTGTCTTATTTTAAGTTGTCATGTTTTAATTTACTTGGATATTAAAACAATAAATTTTTTAAAATGTAAAAGAAAATGATATAGAGTATCAAGATGTTTTATGAAAACGGAAGAAATGAATTGAGAAGTTTTCTAAATATTAAAATTATTTATAATTTTAATTTACTCAAGAAATTTTTGATCCGAAAATAATTTATAACCTGAAAAATTAATTTATTAGGTTATAAATAATAAAAGTTAATAAGGTTATAGAAAATAATTCTTCCAAACATTCACGAGACATTGTTCTCACACACGTTTAGGTCGGCCTGCGCAGTCTGACACTGCGCCAGGAAAATCAAATGGTTTTTCAATTCTACTCAGGTGGTCGGTACAGGTCGCCGAAGCTGTTAAATTGTCCCCCATAAACTACCAAGAATTATAAAGGTCAGGCATGCATGATTACTCCTTTGAGAATTAACCTAAAGAATATGGCCGATTCTACTCGGGTGGTCGGTACAGTTCGCCGAAACTGTTAAATTTTCCCCCACACACATCCAGGAATGACTCAAAATCAGGCATGCATGGTTACTCCTTTGAGGATTAACCCATGGTGTATAGCAGCCTTTTAGTCTCCGGTTTTTCGTGTTACAACTCTCAACGCGTTGAAGATGTCACGTGGTACCGTCTCACACTCCGACGTCAAATTGATAGTCTCGACTTATAACTCACGCGCTTTCCCATCTCACCATGCGAATTCCTATTCACTTTCAGTCGAGCACACGAAAGTGAAAATGGCTGACGGATACGCTATTCCGATCGCAATCGAAGCGTTAGAAAAAGCCGA